TGTTTCAAGTGTAGAAAGGAATGATTTGCAAATGGGTATTCAACTTTTGATTAAGAAATAATTTAAATGTAAAACTAGTGCCATTAATTAAGGCTCAGAGAAAGTTTTTTATAAACCCCTAGATCACATCAATCAGATATCGTATGGAGAATTAGAGCGTATTAAAAGTTCACCTATAATGTTATCAAATGACAGCAACAGAAGCACCTTGTGCAATATGCCACGATGTGTGGACAATAAGGCAGGTGCCATTGTGCGTTGGTCACATGTCTCTGTACACCTCTTGTTCTTTGCACTAATGATGTTTTTTACTCTTAATGCAAATACTTTGATACAATTTGGTATCCCAAGCTTCCATAATCTTATTTTCCTCTAATTTGAATTTATGAAATGAGGTTAAAGTGTTAGGAGAATTATGTTCAGGTCCCACACAAGAAAATTAATTACTATAAGATTTATTAATTATTGTAATATGTGAAAATGGCCTTACTTCAATTATTAATGGACCTTGCTATAATTAATTTTTTTGTGTAGGACTTCAATATAATTTTCTCTACAGTGTTTTAAAAGTTTAAAAATTTGGAATCCCATTTATATGATTTTACAAACTTGATAATTATTTTGGGTTATTTTCATAATTACCTTGGTTTTTGAGTTAATTGTGAATTAGTAAAGGCAACCTTATATCAACAAAATGCAATTTCCTTTAATATATTCAAATATCACAAATGTTGAAATGCACATTTGAATAAATGAAAGCCAAATGCATTTCCTTAGAGGTTACTTGCATATAATTGAAGAAGGGTTTTATATGATTGAAGATACATACATACTATCTTACAACATAACATTAAGTATAAATTTTTAGATATCCAAAATGGTTATTGATATAAACAAAAGAAAAATTGCTCTTCCTCGAAATTTGGTTGCATATTATGAAAGAAGAGTCACATAAGATTAAAGATACCAGCATATGATCCTAAAACATGAGACTAAATATAATTTTTTATGATATCCCGAATGGTTATTCGAATAACTAAAAGTTAAGTTATATTTTTAGAATATTCAAAATGCATATTTAAATATGGTTTAGAATTTGTGGTTAAAATATTGCACTAACATTATGTTTTTAGAAAAATGCAAATTCTGAATTTTTTTTATTTTTCATGAAAACATCCATAGATATTTTAAAAGTGTAAATAGATATTTAAAAAATTTACTCATTTTTCATGAAAATACTAAATGATATTTTGAAAATATAAATGAATATTTTAATAATTTGCTCATCTTTTATGAAAACATGAAAAAATATTCTCATTGGTCACTAAATTTATATGCAAAATTCAATCATACCAATTTAAGACATAAAGAACAACAATTGAACACTGATGAATCCATTTATCATTATACAATAACACATTTTTACATTCCTTAACAATACAAACTACAGTATTTTACATTACAAGAATCCAAACTTATATAATGGCATGAATATTTAAAAATTGATACATGTATTAACACAAGAATCCGAATTTAACTTAACACAAGAATCCGAATTTATTTTTTCCTTCTTGACTCCTTTCCTGGGTGAAATACATGCCAGCACCTTCTCTAAATTTTATTCTTCCCATGTTATGTACTTAAATGGTTGTCCTTCTTAGTTGATTTGCTTGTTGCAAATCTTATATGAAGACCCTGAAATTGTATGCTTGCCAGAATAATCAATATCCCATGACGGAATAGCTACACAGAGCTTGTGCTGTAAAGAAAAGTACTGCGAGAACCAACATTGTCTTGAACCAAAAATAGGATGGGATACACCAAGGTATCTTCCTCATACACTATCTCCAGACCTCAAGAGCATGAGTGCGCTTGGATTTAACACCCAATGTCCCTTATCTTATTTCCTGGACCACGTGTTAATTAGCAAACCCACATGCTAGAATTCATATTGCCAAAAAGTAATTGAATTTGCGCACTACATCCTTAGTTTTTTTTCACCTAGACTGCATAATTTCAATTTGTGCATTCATTGCTTGATCATACATCAAGGACATATGTTTCTTACCAACTACGTATAAAGATGACTAGTGTAAATATATATGTATGTATGTATAGCAATTAAACAACTAATAGCATATATTTATTTTTCATTTGAAAATATTGGATTCATATATTTTGGTAAGATTTTGCTGTTATTTTTTAATTATTTGTCATTATTAAATAAATGCCACCTGCGACCATCCTTGCGTAAATATTTTTTTTTATATTGTTTATGAACTAAATTTTGGATCACATTCATGATTCACCTGAATTCGATTTGATCATACGCCAGACTACTTTTTTCTGTTGTTCTGGATATCGAAAGCCTATGTTGAACAATTTGCTGCTTTGAGTCAGGCCTAGATTCCTGTCAATTAGACATCTGGAAACTCTTCCTGGACTGACCCAGTTTGAACAGCCCGAGATGGTCCTTTTGAGAAGTGGACTAAGTTATTAAAATTTGGGATCAAATCTGGAGAGGCCTGATAGTTACCCAAGCCCGAGTAAAATGCTAGCAAGTAACAAACTCAGATCGAGTTATAACCTGACATGTGTGCTGGTATCCAGATTTTTAGTGGCGCGTGTGAAGAGTTATATGTAATGAAAAAGGAAATATTAAAATAGGAGTACTGGCCAAAGAGATAATAGAATTAATTTTATGGGTAAGAAATATATCTCTATATATTTTTTGGTCTCCCATGGGCATCCTATTGTTAGAGATAATCATATTCAAAGCATTATTTATCATTAAATGTGAGCACATATATTAATGAGGATTTAAATATTGATTTACTATTTTATAAAAGACTAATATTTTTCACTAAATTCAATTTCCATTAGTGGATAAGAGATATATTTTAAGTTTTTAATATATCATGGACAGTAATGGAGTCAAGATCCTAGATTGGAGGAGCTAAGACCTTGGTACAAAAAAAAAATTATATCTTTTATAAATTCATCATTTCTTTTTTTTTTTTACTTTATCTTTGTTTCTTAATTCAATTTTTAATTGCAGCCTTACAGGTGCAATGAGTTAATGAAAGGTGTTTAATAAACTTACTCTTACATCTAGATTTTTTATTTTGTGTTGCTTTTTTTTTATTAATCCTTGACTAATATTTTTAGAACAAGGATGACATAGGTCTTGTTTAGTTGGATTAATTTTTTTTCCTTTTATTTTTAAAAGATTAATAAATAATATTAGTATTTAAGTATGGTAAAATTATGAACTAATATTTTTTAGGCTTTGAGTTAAAAAAATTAAATTTTAGATATGGACTTAATATAAAATTGAAAGAGTTTAAAGTCTAAAATATCCAAAGAAAGGTTGAAAAAAAATAAAACAAAAGGGAAGCAAGCTACAAAATATGAAAACACATGTCCTTATGCATATCATTTTTCCCCAGGTGATGCCCCCTCAACAACATGTGGCTACGCTGCTTATCGTGGGAATTTGAACTTTTAATTACTGCCTATATCCCACCACATCCTTACTATCCAAGTTACTCCTGGGTGGAAAAGGAATGTATTCATTCAGGATAAAAAAAAGATAAGGAATATATTTTGGGCTCCTCGATATGAAAATGAAAGACAATAAAAGGATATATTTATTATTAAATTATAAAAAATATAGTAAATATTTCCGATCTCCGCGTAACAGAACGACTCTTTTCCCTGTAAGCATACTAATGGCGCTAAAGTATATCTACTTGAATTAATATTGATATTATAATAAAGGAGTGGAGATAACAACTTTTCTGATAGAAAAAAATATCTCACAAGAAAATGGAGATTAGTGATGTTTATTTCACTCGGAGTTTTAAGTGGACTCAAGTCTTAAGGTTCCTTTAATAATATAAAATTGCAACAATAATATACAAGGGTTAGTGACTCGAAGTTTTAGTCTTCGATGGCAAGAGTGAGATGAAATATGGCGAAAGATCCCATCTCCGAGACTTCAGGCAATTGTATAATTTAAAAAAATATATAAATATAAGTATATAACTGCTGTATGTTGCTTTGCTTGATTTCTCCCTTCAAGATTAGGAAAATTTCAGTTAGTCTCCTTGACTCAATTTAATTTCAATCAACCTCTCTGACACTCTTAAATTTCACTCCATGTATGAAGGATTGAAATGAAATTAAACATATAAATCAAATGACCTTGTTATTTTTAGTGAAACTAGATTTATGAACAATTTATGTAGGAAAAATGGACAAGTAATGTAAATAACAGCACAACACCATTATAAATTTATAATTCTTATTCCACCCGCATTAATTATTCATTTTTTATATATTAATTATTTATTTTTTTTAGACGGTTGCTCATGTGTTTAATTTCACTTGTTTATATTTATAATGTTATTATGCTATTAATGAGAGTTGTAAATTTTATTTATATCAGTTGTTTATTTTACATATAACAATTTATGTAGGGAAAATGGACAAGTAATGTAAATAAAATTTGCAAATTTTATTAATAGCACAACATCATTATAAATTTATAATTCTTATTCCACCCACATTAATTATTCATTTTTTATATATTAATTATTTATTTTTTTTAGACTCATGTGTTTAATTTCACTTATTTATATTTATAATGTTATTATGCTATTAATAAGAGTTGTAAATTTTATTTATATCAGTTATTTCTTTTTCATATATCAACTCTTTACTTCATTGATAATAATAAAGGTATTTGAGCCAATTCTTTAATTTTATTTTAAATTTCAGCATGTGGAATAAAATTACAGAATTTTTTAAAGTTAGCTAAAATTAATTTGGTCAAGAGGGTTAACTAAAATTTTTAAATAATGACAATAATAATAACAACAGCAGTAATGCTGGCTTCCCGCCATCTGGAGGCATCTAAACGATTGGTGTTAAAACGCCCAAAGATAAATGGGGGAAAAAAAAGGGAAAAATCTTCCATCTCCATCCATTCAAATATCTCCATGCTCCAAAATCATACTTCAACAGTTTTACTGGCTCCCACAATAACGCCTCCTCTCAGCTCGCTCTCAAAATGTCCTCGTCTCCCACACTTGCTCTCAGTCCAGCTGTGCCTGTCAAGTGCTATTTTCTCCGAAACCAATCGGCTCTTTCTCCGTTTCTCAGACCTTGCACCTCACTTCATGTTCCCTTCAGATCCCTCATCTGCCGCTGCTCCACCGATCGTGAAGAGGATCGATGGCTCCGTGAAGAGCAGCGCTGGCTTCGCGAAGAGCAGAGATGGCTTCGCGAGGAGCAGCGCTGGGGTCGCGAACGCGACTGTCTCCTCTGCGAGATTTCTGACCTTAAGCTCCAAATTCAATCTCTAGAACGCCGGATTTTGGCCCCTGAGGTGTCATCTTCTTCCTCGTCTTCGGTCTCCGATGCTATTTCGAATGTTTCGGCGTTGTTGCAGGTTTTGAGGGATAAGAACAGTAATTTGATTGCAGAGAGTGGGTCCAGTTCGCGGGAGATGGTGCTGGAGGAGAAGAAGGTCGAGCAAAAAGAGATTGTGAAGGAGGTGATGGTTGACGACGCCGCTAGGATTTCAGATACAAAAGTGGAGAAGAGGGTAGAAAAGAGGAGCGCCTTGAGGACGGGATCGGAAGGAGAAGAGGTTAGAGAGATGCAGGTCTGCTAGCAATATGTATTTCTACTTCTCTCAAATAAACGAAGGCGAGTTTGTGTTTTATATGCCCTGTTTGGGTTGATACTTAGGAATTGATACTGCTGGATTCTCAATGAAAATGCCTAGGATAGGAGGTCTTAATGACAAGAGTAGATGGTAAGTGCAATTGGAGATATAGAAAATGTGTTCAGAGTTTAGTCGCTTTAAGTAGGTGGAGCCCTTAATTCTGAAGAACTAACCATAGTTTTTTTTTTTAAATTAAAATTGATTTTGTTTTTATTCGTTAGCTGGCATGGACTATATTAAATTTGAGATAATAACTGTGATGGCTGAAGTTAGTTTCAACATTTTGCTTTTGCAATGGGTTGAATTTAACATAATAAACAATCATGCATAGTTTTGTCAACGTCATCTTTACTGCTTTACGCTAAATTTTTCTGGTTCATTGTGGCAAGTGTTCTTTTTCTTTTGTCTCATTGTAGTGTTAGTTCTATAGAAAGAATTTAATGTGTCGTCTCTGTGAAACTTGCACTGTTTTAGTTTTTGATGGTACTTCTATTATTTGTAAGATGGAATTAAGAACTAATGTATCTTATAATCTTGCATGATCTTAAACTCCTGCACTTCAACAGGAAGCACTGCTAAAGTTGGGATTTTACTCAGGCGAGGAAGACATGGAATATTCCAGCTTTTCAAGTGGAACTGAACGTGCTGTGAAGACTTGGCAAGTTAGTCTTATTTTGCGTAGTTTATAAATTGTCATTGGAGAGAGGAAAAAGATTTTTCCCCTTCTGTGCTTACCTGTAGAGTAATCTTAGTAGTGTTATACATGTAATTTCACTACATGAATTTCATGGTTCTAATCAGTATTATTTTCCAACAGGCAGCATCTGGAGTCCCTGAAGATGGCATCATGACAGCTGAACTCCTTAAAAAACTATATATGGAGATAAGGATTGAAGATTCTGGTGGTGTGAAGGAGAAAGAACATTATAATACTGTTTTATCCAAGGTATGCTAACTCTGTCTCCAGAACTATAATGTTACACTTCCAAAAGTCCTTGTATTGGATATGCATTTTGGCATGTGAGAAGTCTATGGCTTTGACAAGAAAACGCAGAAATGAAGCATATTCTTTATGTGGTCCTATTTTATTTGGAAATTTCTGTGAAGATTTTAAAGTGGTCCTGGCACTTGTGCCCCTGAACACATCTATAATCTATTATTAACTTACAGAATTTCCCTCCATAGATCCATAAAGGCTTCTATTTATCAACCTTCTTCCTCCATTGGCAGCAACAAGAACATAATTATCATATCGTCGATTAACCTGGCATTCATTGAGTCTCTGAAACTGTTGTATGCAATCTCAAGATTTTCCAAGACCTTCATTGGTCGGCAGATGATTTTGGCTCCTGTGAGAGCACTGTGTAGCGTTGAGCTCTTTATGATTTATTCTGGCTACAAGAATTCATGATACTTCAGAAAAACAGATTGGAATTGCAAACTAAGATTCTATTCACGCGCATGCCTACCACCTGTTTAGCATTTAGTGTACATTATTTTTTATTAGAGGTCCATGAAGATGCAATGTGTCTCAAAGAAGACACGAGACATTCAGTGAATTTGGATGGGTTGGTAGAAGTTTTCTCTTCCATACATATTTTGGGTAAATTCCTCGCCAGTTAGAGTATCTTCCATTTGTAGACTACATGTATTGTGCTGATACAGAGATGATGTAATGTGTGTCATCTTCTGGCTTGTTTTCCACTGTGATACAAGTATCTGATCATATTGACAATCAAACTTCAATATGTATAAGATGCTGAACTATACCAAGAGGTGAGTTACTTTTCATGCAGGAAGTTGCAAATGGAGCACCCGTTACTTCCGTGGCAGAAACTGAGTTCCAGGAAACTGTTGTGGGAGATGGTGATACAGAAATAGATGTTTCACATCGGCGGGTCTTCCTCCTAGGAGAAAATCGATGGGAAGAACCCTCGAGACTTGGTGCCACTAAAGCAGTTGAGAAGGGGAAGACCGGGGATGTAACTACAAAATGCCTTCAATGTCGTGGGGAAGGTCGCTTGTTATGTACAGGTATTATGTTATTTTCTCATATACTCTTAATCTTGCATATTTAAGTTAAATATTCACTGCCCTTAGTAAATCTATGTAGATTGTTATCCTGGGAGAGGAATGTCTCTGACTGTTTCTTAATTCACTTGTTCAATGCAAGTTGCAAAAAGGAAACAAAAGGCTACTTAAATGCTATAATATCCAATGTTATGATCAGCGGCAACAATTTTATATTTCTCTTCATTTAACTTCCATTTCTTTTGTTGCAGAATGCGATGGAACGGGCGAACCAAATATAGAACCACAGGTAAGAAATCTTCGTGCTGTTATAGAAAATTTACTTGTTATTTATTTCCAATGTCATACAAGATTTTGAAACTCACCGGTGAGTTCTATTCCGCAGTTTTTGGAATGGGTGGACGAGGGCGCTAAATGTCCATATTGTGAAGGCCTAGGGTACACAATCTGTGACATTTGTGCTGGGAAAACCGTAACATAGGTATGATATACGTTTCTTCAGAATTCAGATACATGTATGTCATTGTCTACATCAATGCGACTCATTATGTGATGTGATAAAAGTTTCAGCGGTAGGGAAGTGATCTATTTAATTTCATAATAGAAGGGGTTAAGTGTAGTATATATTGTTGAAACAAAATGTAGGATATTATGTTATCGTGTTTATAAAATTTTAGTGAGGAGTATAGAAGACTTGCTTAAATTTGATGAGTTGTACAGGCTTTTGCTCTTTAAATAGTGGTTAGGGGATTGATTTCTTGCCGCGATGGATTTAGAAATTCAAACCTCGGGGCAAATTTGGAAGTTACCTAAAATAGAAGGGTTATAATTAACTTTGACAATTTTTACAAATAAAATAAAAACAAATTTGAAAGAGAATTGAAGCTCCCATCTTTATTCCCTTTAGATTCGTCAGCCTATGTGGAGTGGGAGCAAAGCTTTTACAGTAAGGATCCATAAATTTTTATAAAATGTTTTAAATATTTTTTTATCATGTTATTATATTTTTAAAACATAAAATTTTCTCTCTTTCTTAAAGAGACAAACTTTAAAAAAATTATGAAAATCATAAAGCTTCTACCTTTTAGCGTTGGGGGAAGTATCACAATTTTTAATTTTTTTTTTAACCACAGTTAGATGCCAACAAAATATTAAAAAATAAGTTGCAAATATTTAGATAATTATAAACAAAACTTTCACGAATTATATTTAAAATTTAAATGTTATTATAATTAAAATTCTTAAATTTGTAACTATCTAAATTAACATTTATAATTTATTTTACTCAATTGCTGGCTGAAGTTTAGCCACTGTGCCTTTCTTGATACCTTTTCTTTCATCTAATCCATCGGGCAACATAATAATCAAATACATATAACCTCCTAAATGCAAAAAGTCAATTTTTAATTTTCATCTTTAAAGTATCACCAAGCATGTAAAACAACGCATTTTCAACTTATGATTACAAATTTGTCTTCGGCTTGCCATGACCAGCAACACGCCTAGTCAGTGATCGCATGGTCACGAATTCCTCAGCCGCAGACGGGTGTAATCCCACCTACATAGGCACATGTTAATACATACTTTGCAGAAAAGAGAAACTTTTTTCCCCAAAAAGAGAAGCTCTTCAAAAGACGAGAATATTCCGAAACACCAAATCTTGGTCTGCTTATTCATATCATTTTTAAGTATGCTATGAAAAACTACTCAAACACGAACGTGAATTTTATGCTAATAAAGCCAATAGGCGTAAAAAAAAAAAAAATCGAAGCCTGATACGAGAACCGGTACCTAATTTCAGAAGCTAGTGATTCAAAAGAAAAACCCTTGAGAATTAAACTTCCATGTACTCACTTCATGTTACCTTTTTGGTACAGAAGAGATCCATCTTAGGCAAGGAATGAAGGTGCAAGGATCAAATCATCAAAAACCTAAGGCGCATCAAGCTTACCTCAACCTTAGTCTTACACTCAGATTGGTCCCGTGAAATATTCGCTCATTAGTGTGCATGATTAAATTTCATTGTAATCTAAATAACTTGCAATTGAATTAGAGGCACATCTTTTTAATTTTTCCAGGGTTCATGTATAAAATAAAATGAATAAAAAATTAATAAAATCTTACCAAGAGATCCCAGGGCAAGGTTAGGCTTAGGAAATATAATATTTTTGAGAAAATTAATTTGTAGATTCTTATAGTTTATTTTATTTCAATCAAGCTCTTATAATTTTATTGATTAAATATGTAAACTCTGAAAGTTAACATTCTTGAATTTCTTGAATTTTTCTTTTTTAAAAAAATAAGTGTATAACTTTGGCATTAATTACATAATTTTTATACATATAGAATTTTCGTAAAAATTTAATAAAATGCAAATATTGTATTAAAATTTTATTTTTCTTTTTGGCCAAAAGTATTAATTCAAATTTTCTATAAATTTTGAAAGTGTTTTTGTTTCGAGAAAGTTGATCATTCATTAATAATTTTAACCTATCAAATTATAAAGGCTTGATTAAAACAAAATAAAGGAACTTAATTCAAAATTGAGAAAAATTACAAAGCACGCAAATTAATTTTCCCTAATTTTTTTTTAAAAAATCGGACCTTTCAATTGAGCTCACATGCTCAATTTTCTAGCTCTAGGTAAGGTCCTCCCCTCCATCGCCCAAATATTCGAGATTCTAGCCATGTTTCATCATAGCATTTGAACTTTGAAGTAAAATAGGCAACCACCGTCATATCCAGAATCATAGGAATAAGCAATAAAAGCTGTGTACTTACCGTGCTATCAAATTGTGCCTTAGTAGCTCCACACTTCAAAGCAACAGCAAATCCCTGGAGGTGACCACCAAATTAAGATAAGGAATTCATGGTACAAGAAACCATATTCAAATAAAGTGAAGATCACCAAAAGGCAGAAAAAAAATCTAGCCATATAAAGGTTCGCAGAAACAAGCACAACACAGTCCCACGAGTAGTACATTACAGTTAGCTCAACCCCAAAAAATGTATGCAACAGCTGGCGTGAAACCATACCTGAATAATTTCAGGGGCATCGGGTCCACACATTGATGCTCCAAGAACTAGATCTGTCTCAGCGTCAACAACAAGCTTCATAACAGTTTTTTCTTGCCGCCTAGTTAAAAAGAATCATCAGAATTTAACATGACATATTGATAATAAGATTGTCAACCATTAATGTCCAGCACAGCAATATAACTGCATGCCCTGGGTTCTTAAATTTTATGTATCTATCATTATTTTAACAACTGGTGTTTTCTGCTCTTAGAATCATGAATTCAGCATAATATTTGAATAAATGTTCGAGTGGGCGCAAAAATCCACATCAATGCACATACCCAGAAATGGTGTTCTTCATTGGATTGAATGTCGATGTAAAAATTAAAATATCACCATTTGCTTGTTCCAATGCCTGTTCCTCGCTGAGACCAACAACAGAAAGTGGTGGAATGCTGCAGAGGAGAAAAGATCAGGAAGATGATGTGGTGCAGAAGGGAAGGAGACATAGCGTTATCACAGGTTTCCCATATTCAGAGCTTCTAAAGTCTGTTACCCAAGGGGAACTGTACCTGAACACTGCACAGGGGACATTACTGTAATCTGGCTTGCTTGGCTGCCCATTAAATACTGTGTTCTGCATGAGGCAAAATAAATGAACATGTCAAGTGTCAGCCCCTACACAATATACTAAGCCACATGGAACACTTACAGCAAAGCATGTTCCCTCCATCAATGCCACAGGAGTAAGGTTCATTCGATTCGTTACATCTCCCACAGCCCATATGCTAGGAACATTGGTCCTTGAGTACTCGTCTACCTAAATGGAGTGGAAATGGAATGTGATAAGTTTGGTCTTGAGAATGTCACAACTTACAATCACTGTTTACGAAGTCGTCATTAAATTCATCGTCCAGAAATTGGCTGAAACAAATCACTTGACGCATTTCAAAACTACCATGAAAAAAATATAAGGCGTATTGGATCCACTAACTTCTACCTGCACACACGCATTTTCTTACCAGTCTATGTTCCTACACATGTAGAAACTAACAAGAGAATATTCAGTCAAACTAGGAAATTGGGCAAGATGCCATACTTCCCTAATCCTTCTTATAGGCACATTAAAAAAAAAAAAAAGTGAAGCATCTGTTTTTTTTTTTTTAACTGTAGAGACACATAGCCTAACAAACTTATTGTAACTCCTTTCTCTTTATAAAGGAGGACAAAGAGAGCGACAAAGTAACCAACATCACAACAACATCATAGCCATTTGCAATTCTATATTGCCTTCTCAACCAAACGAAAAGATAATCCTGGGAGAATTGAGACGTGACATGTCTCATGAATTTCAAACAATATGCAATATGAACACAAAAAGATGCCGAACCTTTATAGCCCGAGTGTTGTCAAGCTCCACACCAACTGCTTCTAAATTCAACCTCTTAGTATTAGGAGTCCTACCTGCAGCCAAAAGAAGACGACTTAGCAGTTCCAAGAACTTTGAAAACTTCTAATACAAGTTTAACAAGCTGCATGATGCATTTGGCTTCCAAAGCCTTTTAATTATGCAAGCATCATTTTTCAACAACAAGCAACCAAAAAAACACATCAACATGGATTCGGGTTCCAGTGCCTTTAAATTTCAGGGTTTCAAAGCCCAAAAAAGCATATGAATCTCCTTTTTTTTTTTAACTAGAGATTATACTTGTTCTTACCGGTGGCAAATAGCACAACATCAGCCATCAGCTCCTCACCATGGTCTGTAACAGCCATAATTCCATGCTCTGTTTTCATCAACTAGAAAATAAAATTATTGGCATTAGCTGAGCCTCAACTAAGAAACAACTGAGATTTGAATATTCACAAAAAAATTAGTTCACTGTAATGAGAGTCCCAACAAAACCCCAAGGGAAATACCTTTGACAAATTTGTTCTTGGGTGCAGATTAATTCCCCGGCCTTCAAGATTTCTGGCAACTACTGCTCTCATTTCATCATCGAAGCCTCTGAAACAGAACTCATTTTCCATTAGCAATATGTTTGGGTAGAGAGCAATGAGGTGAATTGGAGGGGCAGGGATCACAATCTGCAAGGCAAATAGGCAAAAGTTCCCCGTGTAATGGAGATAAAAATTTATGAAAGCAAAAAGAAATCAAGGGGAACGTTCCCTCTCCTTTCTCTACAAACTCGCTTGAAACCCTTTCCAAATTAGAGGGTATAACAGGAAAGAAAGAAAGCAAGCTTATTTCAAAAAATTGCAATTTACTTTGGTGGCCCAAACTATGTATGATAAAAAGAATATTATCGGTTAATAGCAATCTTATATTGGCGAACATCCTCTTTGAACATCACCCTCATTAATAATCCAGACCATTCATTTTATTCCCATTCCATTCCCCTTCTCTTAAACTTCCAGCGATATCTTTAATGGGACGACATGACAGAGGAAGTGATGTTAATGAATAATTACTAAACCTGTCTGTCATTCCTCCGTTTGGACTTTGCAGGGGAAAACTCTTCCCGTCTGCTAGAAATAAACAAACCTCCACTGCCCCATCTCAACAATCAGAATACATGCACAAATTCTTTATTCTCATCTAATCTCCATTTACCCATGGATTACGGCATTCTATTATTCACAAATGGCCCAAATCTGCACATAACTTTCCAGATCTAGGAAACAAGCTCAACAAAAGCATACATTAACTGCAAAAGATAACCATGAGGCCAATTATGACATTAAATCTTACCTTGACTAATAGCCAAACACCCCCCCAAAAAAATAAATAAATAAATAAAATTTTGGGGGTGGGGGTGGGGAAGGCAAAGCCAGAGCCAAAGATTCTCTCTCTAAGATTACAGTAGACAACATGGAAATTAACAGTGAAGAATGCACGTAAGAGCCAAACCTTAATGGAAGTTCTTTTCTGAAAACTAGATCAACTGTGGAACCCATTCCTCTCCATATAGAAGCAAACTCAACTGCAATATAACTGACAGTACAGAATATAAAATCAATAACTATACACCAGAATGCTTGAACTAACACACACAGGATGACAAGAGAGACACACCCTCCTCCAACCACCACAGCACGCTTAGGCAACTCCTCCAAACTTAGTGCTTCATCAGATGTTATAGCCAACTCCTGCAAGATAAACCCACCGCCGAAAAAAAGGAAGGAAGAAATAGTGTGAATGAGACATCGAGAACACTCGATTAAATTGTTAAGAAGTAACATGTTAACAACATGATGGCAGATGAAGTAATATGAAGCAAATACATATAATAATGATAAAAGTTGGGAGGCAACTAACTTGTCAGAAAGATTATTTGCAAAAAAAATATCAAAACATGAAGTTCACCTTTCCAGGAATATTCAGACCCTGAGCCCTGCTCCCAGTTGCAATTAATATGTGCTTGGCAGAATAGGACAATTTGGTGCCATCCAATTGTGTCACCTCAACTTCATTTGGACCAGCTACCTTACCCTCACCTTCAAATAATTTAACCCCAGCATTGGATAACAGCCGCTTGTAAATTCCATTCAATCTGTTTATTTCATCAGTCTGAAGTTTGCACAAGACTTCAATTAGTTAATGAAGACAAATTTAATCTTGATTAAGTTCTGAAAAGAAAATTAGAGATGCTACTCTTTTGCCACTGGAAGTGTTGTAAATATAATCATAATAACATGAAGCCTTAGATAGAAAGCTACTAATTTCAAAATCACAGAAACCTTAAA